TTCTCAGTTCCGTTTTAGAGTTTAATTTGAACTGATGATCTTCTAAGTCTTTCAATGCTGCTTGTAAATCTTGCAGGGGCAATGAAATTTTTGGAAAATCCTCTGTAATAAACAATTGGATGTAAAATTTATCTTTTAATGAATTTAAATGAAGATCTGAACCTTTTTATATATTACAAAAATGATGTAACAGACAAACAAGACAATTAACATGAAGCAGTCAGTCTCACCGTCTTCTTCTTGATACATATCGCGATTGTAACGGTCATAGAGCGCCGGTGAGCGCTCTCCTGCCTCCACGTCACGACCTACAAGAATTGATTTTTTTCTTAAATAACAACTCACGATCGTAGCTAGAGGGGTAGGCAGAGACCACGGACCTAAATCACCGTCGTCCACATCTCTAGCATGTTATTTCTAACTTCTCACGTTGACTTTGTGCTAACTACAGACACTATAAAATAAGTTTCCATCTTCAACTAAATACAACTAAAAGAGTGAAATGCAAATTGTACCTTGTGGTCGTTGTAGCGGCGGTTGGGACCGTGTACGTGGAGGTAGGGTCGCAGCCGGCGGTCGCACTCTTTTCGTCCGCCCGCTACTGTAGCCGCTGTCACGATACCTAGATGTTAATATAATAAGTAATATAATTCATAAATTCATTGAGTTAAGATTCATATTTGGTTATTAAGCTGACCTGAAATCGGTATCGGAATGCGCACGCTCTACAGGACGCCGGCGACGACTCGCGCGCATTGAGCGCCTGGAGAAGAAAAATAGTAAAGTGATAATTGTGAATAATTTCTTACGCAAATAACAAAAAATAATTCTAAACCTACAAATTATGTGTATTTACCTCGTTGAAGGATGATGATGTCGGTGACTTCGTTTTGGCGGCCTTGTGCAGACATAGCAGCATACGCGCCAGTACAGAAATCTGCAATTATTTTTTTCCTATATTTTTTAAAATATTGAAAGTCACAGATACAATTTGCTGTATTGAGGTAGAAAAATATTTTCCGCATTATAGATATATTGCTAAATATTTATACTAGGCGTTAGAAAAATATGAACTATGACACATATTACTCAAAATTAAATCTGGATGACCTGAACGATGAAGCCATGACATCTCCTATGTTGGAGAGGCAGAGCAGCATGAGTGGAATGCCCAGGATGGCGTAGAAGATGGTCACCACCTTGCCAGTCTGCGTCTTGGGCGCGATGTGACCGTAACCTAAAAAATAGCACAACTTCATTAAAAAAAAACATAATAATTAATTGATTACAAAATTTAAATTATAAGTTACGTATAACCTGAACAAGATACATTGTGTTACAATTAAGAAATAACTGCAGTCGACCAGCTGTGACCAGTTAAAGTGAAGCTCTTACGTCATTAATATTCTTTAGGTCAAATTCCACGCCTGCTTTATCAATGCTATGACTAGTCATTCCACTTTCGCTCCAAGAAATTTAATTTAAAGTTTAATCTTTAGTTTTATGAAGATACATATAAGCATCGGTGGTTCAGTGGTAGAATGCTCGCCTGCCACGCGGGCGGCCCGGGTTCGATTCCCGGCCGATGCAATCACTTTTTGTTTACTATTTTATAAAAATACTAAAAGATTTAATTACGAGTTTCACAGAATTAAAAACTTAATTAGGCGAAAGCAATCGTTTATTTCTATTTTAGTTAGTTAGTTAAATTATATAACTTCTAATAAATATTAAATTGTATAGCAATTAATATAGCTAGACAAACATTACGAAAGTGGGATAAATTTCGGAACACAAACGGAAACCATCAAGGGCGAAATCTTTCGCAAAACAATAGAAAAATAAGTAATGGATAAATTCATAATGACCTTCGAATATTTCGCAAAATTTCAATAATTTCCGTGATTTGCTTTGTTTTTGCATCATTTGCTATTTTTACAATCTTTATATATAAAAGAAAGTCGTGTTAGTTACACGATATGCCTGAAAATTGGTGAGGAGGTAGCAGCCAGGAGACGGACATTGCATACTATTTATTCATTTTTTTTTCTTTTTCCAAATTATGCCTTGAAGAGCTGCTTTTTATTTAACTTATCTATATATAAAGTTTTTTTATATATAATATATCCACGCGGACGGAGTCGCGGGCGATGGCTAGTTTAATATATAATTAGAAATTGATGTATGTTGTCAAAAACGTGGTTGATTAATACCTAATCACGCGTAATCCATGGGAGTCGTTGAACACCTCGGTGTTCCCGCTGCTCGTTTGCCCCCTTGTTATAAAAAAAAACTTGGATAATCAAGCCCCTCAGTAGGGTGATAATGAGATGTAATTTTTAAGAACAATCAAATAATTTCATAGTAAAGATCTCTTTTATGGTTATGTGGCTGAATAAATACGTTTAGATTCACGCTTTGTAGGTAAAGAGAAACAAGACTAAAATCTAATATAAAATCTTTAAACTCATAATGTTAATATTTATCTCTCTTAAATAATTAAGCAATGTTATTTTATTACAATACAATAAAATTTAAAATCATAAAGACTTTAAAATAATAATTAAATGATGATATCACAATATTACCTTTATTATATAAAATAATACGTATACAAATTTAGATAAAAGGTCAGAATAGTCATGCAAACTAAATCTATTGTGTTTTCTTAGACTATTATAATTAGAATAATACTTCTATTGGTGATTGGTGATGTAACCACACAATGACCATATCAAATCACTAGTGCGTAGTATCCATGGCAGTGGTGGCATAGCAGCGGTGGCAAACAGTCTGGTTGCATAGGGCATCGCGTTGCATGCGCACTCTCTCGGTGACCGTCGTATCAAACATAAGTTTGTGTGTGAACTGTGCTTTATATTTATTTTAAAAATGTTTTATGGTTAGTAACTTTTTTTTATTTTATTAAGTGTGTTAATGCTTGCGTTGGAAAAATTGTTTTTTATTTTTAAATTGTAGTTGTAAAAAATAATTATATAATAGTTTTGTGTGATAATAACTATTTTAGTATAATAAAAATATTAATTTAATTTTAATTACTAAAATATATAAGTAATAATAGAAAAAATAATTTTATTTTAAAATCAAAAACTATGAAAATTGTTTTGGATCGATATTCCAAAATGTTATATTAAAAAAAAACAATTTTATGAAAATTGTCAAACGTATTCTTTGCTGTTTTTATTCCTTAAATTTAATTTAACTTATAAACTAAACAAAAAGCTTAAACTCATTAAACAACAATTTGATATACATATGTTTTCGTTAAGAAGTTTTACCATTTAAATCAATTATTCACAAAATATCAAAAATTTTATAATGAAAATAGTAATTTTCAAGACATATATGTATTATATATTATGTTTTAATTACTGATATCTTAGATAAGGCCCGGGCTTTTCCAAAAAGGCTGCGTTGCTTCACAACGCCTTGAAGTTTCGTTGCAAAACGTTACAACAAACCAGTACTTACATTTGCAAATGTTAATATTTCATAGAAATTTATAACTTAATAGTTACTATGTTGTTTTATGTGTTTACTTTTAATTAATCGTGGTTTTCTGAGACCAAAAACTATTTTAAAAACATATTATTATCTCTTTTTGTTAAAGAGAATGTGAGAGATCATGTATTTTTATACAAAGATTTTAGTGTCAGAAACCAACGGTAAATCATTCATCTACTAAAAGTTCTATAATTTCCCGGTAAAAAAAAACTAGAAAAACATTGTAAAGAGTTACAAATAAATGAGAATCAATTTATCTAAACAAAAGTGTGCGTAATTGTTTCGATGTGTGAGAGAGCTTTGTTAAGGTCGTGGTTAATAGAAATCTGTAAGCTCTGCCTACCCCTGTAGGTAATAAACGTGCTTGAATATAACAATAATGATTTCATATTTAAAGTCAAGAAATACTTGAATACTTAAGGGCCATATCTATCGCGAATTACTTTTATTAGACCATTGTCAAACGCTATGTCAATTAAGTTTACATTGTTATATCAACAGATGGCGGAACATATTACTAGATCACGATATTGATTTATTTGGTATCTTTATCGACTAGCCGATCGCATTTCAGTAAAGTTAACTCGCACCAAGATATAACCAGTGTTTCATTGTGACTACTCGATACATTTCCAGTGAGAGGGAGACCTTTTTGGGACTGCTTTACACCATACTGTTTTCTCTGTGTTTTTTACAATAAGTGTAAAAGGCTATATGTTTTATACACGTGTTTTAGCAGTGGAATTCCACGTTTAGAATCATCTAAATCGTACACACGCTGCGTTATTCGCTCGCCTCTCGTGTTTACAGCAACAAATCAAGTAAAGTCCCACGATCTGTCGTCGTGTTATGTCTCACGGCACAACACGACGACAGCCAAATTACAGCGGCTTTGTTTTTGCGATCAGCAAACGGAAACTCTGCTCAACACTTTTGTCTAAAAAATGAACACTCTAGGATTACACTGCAAATCCTTGGGTCGAAAACGGACTGTGAAATTCTTATGTTTTTTTATCACGTTATAAGTTTCCACAGTCGAAACATATCTAGAAACCATTAAGTAAACCCATTTTATTGTAATTGAAAAAACAATATGCCTATTTTCAAGAGATTTTTGCATATTCCTTCAGCATCTTTAGTATTTTCCTACCTCGCTTCTTTTGCAATGAACCATAGTATTCGAAACGATGTCATCTAAAAGACACCATCTAAATCTATACCTAATAATAAAATTGGATTGTCTGTATGTATTAATGAAAATAAAAATCATATTTCGTACATATTTGTAAACAATAGAAAACCAATTCTTAAAAATGTTTGTCTGTCTGTCCGCAAATCCGCGTTCGTTTCGGCTAATCTCCGAAACCGCTGTACCGATTTTGACGGTAAGGTTGCTGATGCATGCGGGCATATTATAGTATACTTTTTATGCGCAGACAAGGTCGCGAGCAACAGCTACTATTATTAAAATTAGCCCATTGATCTGTCTTACAAGAAAGTACTTACAACCCATTACGTATACAATAAAATTATCAATGTTCCAACTAATGTTTTTTCGAATTCAAGTACGATAATATGGGGAGCGTCGGTGGCTCAGGGGTCAAGCACTTGACTTGCAATCTGCGGGTCCTGGGTTCGAATCCGGGTTTTCAATTTTCGATTTACATATGTACATTTATCCGACATTCTTACAGTTAAGGATAACATTGTAATGCAACCTGCACATATCTGAAAAGATATTCAAAGATATGTGTGAAGACAACCGACCCGCACTTGGCCAGTGTGGTTGGCTATGGCCTAATTACCCTTAACTTAGGGTAGGCTCTGAGCCCGTCGATGGGGACGTATAGTGAGCTGATGATGATGAATATGGAAATCAATAAATAAAATAGTGAAACAAAATAAGACTTTACTAATTTCCCAGTGAGAGCAAAATATATTGCCGTGAACTGTAGTAATGTCACATTCTCAGGGTAGTTTGCATTTACACATCTCTGAGAATGTTTTAGCGTCCATGTGAACATCACACGGAAGTATTATCTCACTAAATACAATAAATAAACACAAAAGTGTGCATCCCGGAGACCTAATTTAGTCCACTTTCCCTTCCCACCCCTTTTCTCATAAGGAAAGGATGGGAAGTGGAAATGGACTTTCCGGATGAGAGGACGCATGGAAGGGAAAAATGTTTTCATTCTGGGCATCCTCTCCTCCGTCGATTAAAGGTCGGCAACGCATATGCAATAGCGTATGTCTATGGGCAACGGTCAGTTCGCTATTTTGGTGATTTCAGGTGACTGCTCGCTCGTTTGCCACCTTGTAATATAAAAAAAGGTAGAAGCGCTACTAATCCTAACCATCTTTGTATTTGCTGCATAATATAATTAATTTTTTCCCGTATGTTTATGATTTTTAGGCGTTACGGTAGATCAGTCGAAGATACGAATAGAAACGCAATACACACTGTTTAAAATTGGTCTAATGGTATACAGTCATACGTACAAACATTTTAAACAAACTTAGATAAAATTGTAAAATTATTTTATCTGTACCTTTCTGTCTGACGATGAAAAAACCGTCAACATCTTGATGATATAACGTTTTAAGCAACTACAAGTTTATCAATGTCCAACCTAGATTTATTTCACAGCCAGTGAATTGAAAAGTATCAAATTGCATTAGTTGTCGTAACTTCGATATTTGTCGCGTAACATTACATTGGAATCATTATAGACTGTTCGTGTTATGTTCGATAACTATCTCATAATATCTTTGTGTTAACTAAATTCGCATCCAGAGTCATTAAGAGTCACTTAAAGTTACCTTAGTAAAGATTTCTCGCAATAAATCTCCACTAAGTTTTACCTTTAATGACATTGATAATGTTAAGTATTTAGTTAGAAAAACAAAAAACATTTTATTATCAATGTCACATCTAACTTAGGATTATAAAGCTATACATATAAAGTAACATGGCCGTCAAAATCTGAATCAAATATAAAATCACACGCCCACAATATTCATATGTAGAGTCATAAGGTTTTTAGGTCTAGGTCAACTTTAACATATTTGCATTAAAACAAGGGTTTATTGTTTATTATTTTCCTTAATGACATTAATATCAATAAGCATTGAAGGAGTTAAGCTCCATGGCTGCCAAGTCGCCAAACCTAATAGCCGGACAGAGCAGCCAGTTTGGTCGGACATTTGTGTAGCAAGGCCGGACACCCTACATTGCTGAGGACTTTGTCTCAGTATTAATAGGTATAACACTGTCGTTTGCGAAATGTAAAAACATAAAAAAGCCGGACAACCCGGACACCGTTTATTTTGCACACACGCAATCAAAAAGCCTGTAAATGTCAGGCTTTATCCGGACGCCTGACAATATTATTTATAGATATTAACGCGTAGAATAATATAATTTAAATTTTGATCTTATTCTTAAGGAATTATCATGTAGATATTAGGTTTTATGAGTCAGTTTGTTAGATTGTGCGAGGTGAATTCAGATATTACGGCTGATATTTGTAGAGTAGTGCCACTTTTTAAACTGGTATTACGTAGTTACATGAAGGCAGAAAAATGTTTAATAGTTAACCGTATATTACAGGTAGTGTGTACTGGTGGGTCACCCTAATAGCTGTATGTTCAGCTGAGAAATGGCGCTTCCCAGAGAAGACGGCGAGGTCGGCGCGCATCGACTCCAAAGTCAAGTTCAGTGATCCATCTATCAACAGTAACCAGAACTTCCTACCGAACAGGTGACTAATAACAGAACAAACAAATTCTCTTGTTTTCGTATATTAAAGAAAGTAAAGACGTGGTTAAGTGACCAATACCCGAAACATGAAACAATCATTTCGTGTGCCCTGGTGGAGATATTTGCAGCACTCTACTTCGGTGTAGAGGAAAATATTTCACAGTTATGTTAAGGGGAACCACAAGTGCACCTTTATATGCGTCTCTGGCGCCTCCAGAGTCCCCTTATACCATGGGCGATCGCTCCTAGGTATTAAAAAATAGAAGATAGAAAATAATGAGCAATATCAAACACATTTTGCACTGTCACGATGTTTGTTGTATAAAAATAATATTTAAAATTATAGCTAAAGAATTTTTATAAAGATAGATTTATTCAAAAGTAAATAATTACAATTTTATAACAATATTCTTTTAAGTGCATTAAAATATATATCCAAAATAAAATAGAGAATGAATCAACTTTGTAAATACGATTGTTACAATCATTATACAATATTAATTAAAACAAAATAGAAATGTTAAATATTTTATTATGAAATACGTTGTAAAACAAAAAATATTATAAAACTTGTATTACAGGTCTAAGCGTTAATTACTGGAAAATATTTATTAATTCGACAAAATCACAAAAGGATCTGCGCAATTAGATTTAAAAAAAAACAATTCAAACGATACTCTAAATGCTTAATATAAATTAAACAAAGAACGGAAAACAAATGAAGTCTCAGACATTTGGTTTCCTGCAGATCTCACATCAAGACCTTGACATCTTGAATAAAATCTTATTGTACTGGCACAATAATTTATGCAATCATGGATCCTAATCATCATTAATGTAATTATTTTACACGCCAAAACCACGTAATCTAGCAGACACTTTCAAAACCTTGGTAACTAACCACGATAGTTAGTTACTTGGGTATTACCAGTATTGTTCTGTTCTGTTATCATCTTAAGGTCAAAATTATGAAATCACATCCGATTCTATGTGCAACTTTGCGACGCTACAACTGTTACACTACTTACTTACTGTTACTACAGTGTTACAATTCTTTTTGGAGATCATTATTTTCTCAATTGGAATAATCTGTTTCTTGAATTAATCAATAGAAACAAACAAATATTGTTGTGCTGTTTTTTAACAATTTCGGACATTCATGTGGTGTTGAAAAAAAATATATTGTCCCAATTAAAGAGAAAATATATTACGAAGTTTCTTTCTCTAATTTATTTAAAAAATTCAATCCGTGTTATACAAATGTACTGGAAAAAATAAATAATTAACTGGCAAAGTAACTGGCCAAAAATAAAATTAAATATTACGATTCAAACTTTTTAATGCATCTTAGTCTATGATTGGGGAATCCCCAACAGCAACTCGCCCAACCAACTGTTGCTCCACTAGTGTGTCAGGGTCTTTAATTAAAAGAAACCTGCTTCAAAAGTATGAAGAAACATCTGATTTATTAACACTGTGAGTGCACCATTGAATCTTTTGAGTGTATTACGTATTTTTACTTGCGATAAAAACCTGTTAACTTACGAAATTGTTTGTCCACAAATAGTATTGTATTCTGTTTAACACATACAACGTATGCTTAAGAAATTATATTCCAATAATAAATATTAAACGAGTATAGACTGTTATTTTTTTTATAAATTAACTTAAACAATAGAACATCAACCAAAAACCCGGTGAGGCTGTAAATGCCTCCTCAAGGCAAACAGTGGCAATTCAGTCATAAAAAACCTGAAAGACTGCAGCGGATCGATGTCAACATGAAGTATTCTCTTATTCCAGAGGGAATATCCCGAACAATGCGGTACCGAATGATCTAATAGATCAAGCAGCGTCCCAGAACTTTTACTATCAGCCGGGTGCGGGGCACTACGGAGACGTGGTCCGGCCACCGCAGACACAAAAAGTTCCCTTCCTCATGCATCAGACTACTGAAAAACAAATATTTGAAAAACCCGTGTAAGTTAATATTGCTTCAATTAAACTAATAGGATTATGATTTATAAACGAAAGATATGCAGAAAAGACCCTGTATTTCTCTCTCTTAGTATCTATTTTGACCGATTCTTAAGCACCAAAAGTAACACAAGTCTGTTCGATAAAGTTAGGGAATCTGATCAAACTTGTCCATTCTTAAATGAAGCCGATTGGTCTATGTGATATGGTAATTTGTGACAACGAAAAAATATTTAGTTCGTTCTACTGTTATCAGGCAAGAATCTGACGGTACCCTGGACTCGCTTGACCGCTGCATGTGCCGGCAGAAGCGGGACTGCATGCAGAGACTGACCAATGCGGTATGTATACAATTGACTTACTATCTGTATGTATGGTTGTCATGAAGTAAAAGACTAACTGTTGCTGATAGCAATAGTAACTTATTTCTTGTTTACTTTCAGCGCGTTTGTGGCCCAAACATGAAACTGTGTTGCTTCACTGACAACAATCCTTCAGGTAACTATTTACGACCAATAATATTTTTCAAACTCGTTATTAGATACTCGAAGTTGCATAAAATCTTCACACGATTTTTATAATATTCAAGTCGTCTTAACAACTTGTCTATATGCAAGTGTTAACATGAAATGGTTTTTTTATTCTCTTAATAAAATGAATATATTTAACAGCTGTCAACCGAGCAGAGTATTTCAACGAGCTAGTGGACGAGCGGCCCATGTTGCTGCCGGGACGTGCCCTCAACAGCGGTCCCTTCCCGCCCCCGCCCGACTCTGTGCTCACTGGCGCCGGCAAGTACGCGCCCGGCCGCGCGCCTGACGCCATGCTGCTGGCCGCGCTCGATATGTACCGCGCACAGCCCGCGCCCGTCAGACCCCGCCTCGGCCCGCTGCTGCCCACACGCAAGCACGTACCAACGCCGCAGCTCAATCGGCCCGTGCTCATTGGCACCGGCGGCCCTAACGCTCTACACCGCGCCGGCACTCACATGGTACCCAAAACTAACTACATACCGCCCGACAACGCCAAAAGACCGCTGCTCGTTGGACCCGAAGGCCCCTCTGGAGTCGTAGGACCCTACAGAATCGGCCCTCAAAGTCAACACCCTAAGCCTTTGGTTATCAACGATGAAAGACCGGGACTAACGAACCCCAACGGACAGAATTACGAGGGCAGTCTCATTCCGTACAGCCTGCAGCAGGATTTGCACCCGAGCCAGTCTGCTCAGAGACCGATCCTCGTTGGCCCTGGAGGCCCCACCGGTGTCATCGGACCGGAGTACAATCAGCGACCTATTCTGGTGGGTCCAGGCGGTCCCACGGGCATCATCGGCCCGCGCAGACCTATCCTGGTCGGTCCCGGCGGACAGCCTGGTATGATCGGACCTAACTATATGCCGACAGCAAAGCCAGGCATCCGACGGCCCGTGTTGGTGGGCCCTGGCGGACCGACGGGGGTCATCGGCCCCTACAGGATATACTTTAAGTAACATAATGTTAGCTGTATTTGTTAAGTCTTTTTTTTTAACATGACTGCAAGCCAACCGCGGTCCCATAGGATTGTTTTAATGTAAATAATTTAACAAAACTTTAATTCGTGTAAGAAATATTTTAATACTAAAATGTAAAAAGCTTATTATTGTTAAAGATAGACCTACTTATGTATTTTGTTTACGAGAGATGGAGAGAGAGGACAAGACATATTCTTGTCTATCTACTCTAGTCCACAAACATGAAATGACGAAAAAATATCCCGTAAAAAAACTAATACATAATTTAATAAATTTTAAGTTACCACATTGTGTTTGATTTGTTTACAATTCATTAATTTTTTTTTTTTAAAGCTGAGATTATATAGTACGTTTCTTTGCAGTTTATACGTAATAAGAGAAATTGTAAATCAAATATCATAACATTTTGTAGACGTCATAAAGTTTATTTAATGAGTCCAATTATTTTTAAAAATAAAACTTATCGCTGGCGTGGATATAAAAATTTTGACGTATGTCGACAGAAGTTGGACCGAAGCCAACCACTAGCTCACCAAACTCGTAAGTCTACGTTCTCTGATACTAACTCGCCTTGGCTCCTCTAATAAATTGTATAAAGGAATTTATAGAAAATTGAAAAATTATCTAAACTAAATAAAACGGAAATAACTCAATTCATGGAATATTTTTCCATCTTGATGGTACTTATTGATATGTTACTTCTTTAACAGTTTACACAAAAAATAAATAAACTACAATTGCCTATGGAGTATAGGCAATTGTATTGATCCATCCATCTTAATAAATCCAGCCAATTCATTCCTAAACCTTTTGAGTAATGTAGAATGTGTTCTCTCTCTCTAGAGTCGGTCCCTCATGGCTGAGGATCGTGGTCAGCATCAGGGTTAGTTCTGCACTACACTTGGAATGTGTTAATTGAAAGAAAATGTGTAGTTACAAATCATTAAATTAGTTATAAATTATCATTAACACGTTGAGCGCCTCGCGTATTTCTATGACAATCCCGTTCAGGCCACATGCGCCGCTTACATATACGCACTGGTATTAAAGGACCGGTGTTTTCGATGGCAGTATAAAATAGTTTACATTTTTAACGCAAAATAGTGTAAAATTTTATAGTTCTCATGTTACACGCAGTCAGCCACCAATGGTTAAACGGAAAGTCTAGTGTCAGCCACCGATGGCTGACGTGGCGCTCAACGTGTTAATGTATTCCCTTTTATCAATATTGGAAATAAACCAATAAAACTTCTTTGAATGACGGTTAACCCAACGAAGTATTCAAACCGGAATTATGTAAACAAATGCCATTAACGATCCAAGTGCTCTCCCGTATTTTACGATTACACATTAAACTATTATTGACTTTATTGGCTTGCATCGACGAGGAATACATAATTCACATAACTTCTTTTAAAAGAAGACGTTTGAAATGTAAAACATTTTTAACCTTAAAATGTTTGGTTCGAATTTAAAATTTAATTAAATCAATATGTTTATATAAAAACGGCTAAACACTCACGTATATTTGTCCGGTGGCGACAACGACTAGTTTCGAGCCCATCGGGGGCCCTTCATCAGGGTGAGTGGGACTTGTATTATTTCGCGGACGCGGTCCCTCATTCACTCGTACGTGACTGTTTAGCCGTTTTATATAAGTTTATTATAATGTCTCACGAAAGTTTGAATTGTTTAAAACAATATGGTCAAAAATGTTTTTATTAAACATGTGCTTACCGATAGTAGTGATGACAATGATGCTATAAAAGAGTGCACCAGTAAAGGTCCACTGAATGTGGTCAGTGCTTTCGTTGCCGTCCCACCCCCGCACCTTCATCTCCAGTAGTATCGCATTCTCGAAATCCTGTGCAAATTATAAATTCGTCATTTTATATTGAACAAAATAAGCTCCTAAAAGCATCACTACGAAACATGATATTCCATAGTTTATCGTTCATTTGGTTACGTCTATCTAATTTTAATATGACGCCTTCAGGAGCCTTGAATAGGCATTCACTGAACTACCGCGCACCATCTTTTGACCACATCATCAGTTAACATCTAGTGGGATCGTAGCCAAGCGCTAGCTTATACTATATATAAAAAATTGCTGTTAATGTTTGGTTGGTATACCTTAAGCATGTCAACAACGTCTGACGTCCAGTTGGTCTGGTTGAGGAGTGGCACAGTACGCGTCATGTGCCAGATGCTTTGAGTCGTGTTGCTGCGGATCTGGGAGATGTTCATCTTCACCTGAATAACATCGCTAAACATTACCAACCCATTTCATCTTTAAAGTTTCATATTTCTATTGAAAATTTAAACTATCGAACCTGGTATCATCTACTTTAACAAAAGACTAGCTGTCGTCCGCGAATCCGTCCACACAGAATAAAAAAAACGTTAATTAGCCTATGGTTCTAAATCATACCTTCTAACAAACACCATAAATTTATATGACATTTTACCGCTTCGAGATTTATGGGTTAATCAAACACTATAGAGTAGAGTATAAAATGTGACCTCTCTTTCGTGTTGTGCCTCGAGCCGCTCGAAGGTGACAGCGCCAAGGATGCAGTAGGCAACCACCAGGCTGATCATCACGAAGTGAGAGAAGACTAGTGAGCATAGCTTCCACGTGTAGTACAGCACCTGTACCATTGCGATTCACGTTTTAATAACAAGAAAGTGGCAAGCAGTTTTCCAAGTGGCAAGTGACCGCTAACTGGGCACCAGTCTATTGTCAGATCGTTTAAAATAATTTACTATTATGCAAATTAATTCAAAATATATTTCAAATTCAACAACTAAAATCTAACTCGAATATTTTCAGAACAAAATAATATTGTTTTCTGTTGGTATACATTGTACAGAATCGATTCATTTTTGTTAAAGACCATCTATCAACTTAAATTGACAACAGTGACCACTCAAATATGCGGTTCATTTATCAATAACAAATGAAGACAGGTTTTATTTATTAATGTATGAACAACGAGGTAAAGAAATAAGCAACAATTCTTTTTTTTTTATATCATAAGGTGGCAAACGAGCGAGCGGCCACCTGAAATCGCTGATATAGCGAAGTGACCGTTGCCCATAGACATACGCAATGGCATATGCTTTGCCTACCTTTAATCGACGGAGGAGAGGATGCTGAGAAAGAAAATATCTTCCCTTTCCATGCATCCTCTCATCCGGAAAGGCCACTTCCACTTCCCATCCTATCCTTATAAGAAAAAGTCTGGGAAGGGAAAGAGGACTAAATTAGGCCTCCGGGAATTAATTATTTTAAGTCTTCATTTATTACTTTTATGTCCTTAATAGGTTAATATATGTTTACCTTAGCACACTTGCTCGGCGGCGGCGGAGGATACTCCGTCACACGCTCCACGCGCATATCACGACGCGACATCTTGCACGCACTGGACAATAACTATTTGTTTACCTTACAGTGACTAGTACCAGTACTTTATATATATTATATGTAATTATCGACATTTTGGTATATTTTCCAACGCACTTTATTTCATTCATTTTATGCAAAAATATTTATAAGTAATTCAAAATACACTGAATTAAAATTATTCGTATAGTTGTGGTCCCAATCACGTCCTTATAAAACTCAACTGTTTCTACTGGAAAATTTTCACATAAAATAAACTATGTTTTACGCACTTTATGTCTTACCACGAGATATTTAACTAAAATATTTCACTCATAATTATTTTCGTTGATTATACTGGAGTAGTTGTTTTGATAACTGTGTATTAAATATTAGTACAGTACAGTAAAGCGGCTGGCCCGGCGACCGCGCGGCGTAAATCTGGCCGCGTCGGGAACGCGTTTTGGATTTTACGATCTCTGTTCAGGGTTACCATACTATGAGATATAACCTCATAGTATATTGTTGTTTCTACATAGTATAATATGATGAAAGCATTTCTGTGATAATTTTTGATAGTCAGTTATTTCAAAGTTTTAGATCCTAATACGTCTTGCGTCGCTTCATTTACAGCCGTATATTTATATAATTATGTTTTTCGGTTACGGGAACTTTGTATAGCAATTGTCTTTAGGATGCCAACTCTGCTACTCTCATTCACAACATACCTTTATATTGTCATCGTCTCCATTCTTTAAACAAGAGTGGATCATCGGAGCGTTTCCAATTGTAGTCAAAAAAATCCGATGGTATCAATTATGAGTATGTTTTGTGTATGTCGCATCTAACAAATATTATAAATACGTATGTTTGGATGAATGGATGGATGTTTGTTAAAATACTCCATGGATCTCGATTAAATTTGGCACATAATAGATGTAGAACATAGCCTCGAAGAGGTTAGTTAAGATTTTATTTTAGTTCCGCGTGAACGGTGTTGCAGGCGACAGCAAGTCTTGACAAAAATTAATCAGAAATCCACAAATTAACTAAACATTAGATGAGTCGTGTGCGGTTAAATGTAAACAGTGCTAAGGGAATATGGGTCGCTCGCTGAGAACTGCATTTGATAGCCACAGAAATAATACGGCCATACCATTCATACGGAAATTGTGAAATGTCTGGATAATATTCCAATACGATTTCGCTCAGACGATTTATTTCTAAACATTTTTCAAGGCTATGGTGAAATAAAATTTATTCGTTTCGTAGTTTTCGATCATATAAATGAAGAACTTACGATATTCATGACATCTTCTACTTTTAAATCTAAAAAATATGATATATGCAGCTAAAACATATTTTTCATCTTTTAAAATTGAAACTATCTCTGATATATCTCTACTTACCATTGGTTTCCGAGACTAAAATCTTAATATGAAACATATCGTCATCCCTTTCATTATCTTTGACAAAATAGAGATAACGATGTGCTTTAAACGTATATTTTAGCCTGAGAAATTCACAATTAAAGTTGACTCGGCTTCCGTATCTCTGGCATAATTCATCTTAGTTATTTGAATTAGAACTTTGATATTTAGAAGATATCTTGAAAAGAAATGCTTTAGAATACTGGTTAAATAATTTATTTACATAAACATATTAGCTACTTACTTTAATTATGTTAAGCATTGTTAATCTAATATATTTAACACATTGAATGCCACAACAATTTTTACGTACTAATTGTCACGTAGAGGAGTGTGGCGAGCAGTGAACGTGTTAATATTATACAGTTTACTCAACTAACGATTTATATATTTGATAGTTTTGTACATATTAGGTTATTAATTCTTAACGTATTTTATTGTCATATATCCACAGTTTTTCACATGTATAGTTCGTTCGGAATGTTTCTAGCAAATGGCCGCGATGTATAAACTTATTTACATATTAAATACGCTTATAAACTCATTGAATTGTTTAAATTAATTAAAATAAAACTGAATGTAACTACAAAAGCGAAATAAGAATAACATAAATGATTGATTGTTGAACACGACGTTTGATTTATAGTTGGAATGAATCGATTCAAAAAGAATCTGTAAACATAAATTTAAATGCATCTTTTAATCCAAGATGAAATGTTATTATTGGCAAATGTGTACAGTTTACTCGCCTTCATGTTCAGTGGACGCGAGCTCCGGATTTATCCCACGCGCTTTTTCATCTTATGCTTTATGAGTTTATTGCACCATGTCTATTTGTCTCTTATCTACTGACAATTTTAAAAAAATAGTTTAACCCATTAGTGCATAAAGTTTATTAACGCCTTTTTCATTATGATCACTGTAATATATTTTCATTTCGAATGCATTTGACCATTAAATTGTATAAAATATTTAAACAATATGAAAGTTTAGATTTTATATCCCGTCCGATAAATTGCTTCCCGGAATGTCATACAAACAGTATTACCATTTCAAATATGTATTACACTAATGTTTAAAAAAATAAACGGTTAGTAAAATATATATAACCCCTAAAATAATAATTTTATTGGCGTCCGATTTATCAAACATTATGCACTAATGGGTTAAATAATTTGCCCTTGCAAGTATTTTTTTTTATATCATAAGGTGGCAAACGAGCGAGCGGCCACTAGAAATCGCTGAATTAGCGAAGTGACCGTTGCCCATAGACATACGCAATTGCATATGCGTTGCCTACCTCCAATCGACGGAGGAGAGGATGCACAGAAAGAAAATATTTTCCCTTTCCATGCATCAGTTTTATCAATAATGCCTTCAATTATCGCGAGATGGCGCTGTAACATTTTCTTTATCGGTTTGTAAGAGTTGAATTATCTTTCCGTAGACATATGATTCTGATGAATGACAAGAAGCGCAGACACTGCACTGCATCACTGAACCTGGCTCCATTTGTCACAATTTTCTTTAATGTTTTATTATAATTCTCTATGGTAATAAATGTTTCATTTCATTTCTTTTTTTTTATGACAATCTTTTTCAAAAAATGACGATATTGCAAAGAGACAAGGTACATTATGGTATTTACTATTATAGATATTTGTCATCTATCAATGAACTTAGGATATAAGACGTATGTTTAACAACGCGAAGTAACAACTTGTTGTGTCTGAGGAAGGGCAGGAGGAGGGCGGGGGGTCGCGGCCGCTATATGCTCCGCCTCCCGGATGGTGTCGGGAAGTCTCGTGTTGAGGGTCTCGGGAGTGGTCAGCATCAATCCACCAGCTATCAGAGCGGTGGCACCAAACAGGACGGATGGAAGCCACTCTATGTAGATCGCCTGAGGACAATTTTTTTTAAGTTTCAAGAATTTTCTTCCAGAAATTACAATGTTTATACATTTTAATATACAGTCACAAATCATATCGAACTATTGCAATAATCTATAAAATTTGAAAGGAGGCTAAATTACTTTAATCTATATATTATTTAATATATATATATATATATATATATATATAT